GCAAGATTCCTGAGGGTCCCTACGTGGTGCCAAGGCCACCTTGGATTTGCCACTGAGAAGAGTTCCTGCCAGCCATCCACCCCGAGGTGGTGGTGGGCTCCCCATTGCTGCAGGCTTTTATGGAGAGATTTGATGAGCATCTTTCAGAGGTGGAGAAGCACAATCCTGGATGAGATGATCCTGGAGTTTCTTTCTAGCCCTGGATTCCCATGGGTGCACTAACCTGCCGCTGCCAGAAGGGATAAACTGAGAGCAGTAAGAGAGAAGCTGAGCTGGTTCCCAGCTGGGAAAGAAGTGCAGTAAGTGTTCTCCTCTCTCAGACAGTGTTTCTGAGTCAGCTCAGAGCCTGTAGGACACAAGTGAGCATGCACTCACTGCTGGACCTCTGTGACATCCACGTTTCCAGCAGGCAATTTCCAGCCCTTCAGTCAGCTGACTGGCTCTTGGCCACGTTTTCCATGGAGAAGCCACTCTGGTATTGCTTGTTGCTGCAGCAGGGCACTTGCAACAGCCGTGCTGGGACAGGGCTCTGGAAGGGAAGGCAAACACCTAGTTAGCAGCCAGCACACCCAGCTCAAGGTGTCCAATCTTCTTCCAGCACCACCAAGTCCTCATTTTCCTCAAACCTAGAACGAACCAGAGCCAGCTGCTGGTGAGCTGAGAGGTGGTAAGAAGTGGATGGGTTGCACCAGATGAGGCATTGCAGATCCTCCCCAAGGCTTTGGCTGGCTGCAGCACCACTGGCTCCATCAAGAGGAGCCAGTTTCCATGCTCTGGAGGAAAAGCTTAGGGAGGTTTTGCTGCAGGGAGCAGCCCCATCACCACAGACAAGGGACTTCTCAGGTGTTCAGCAAATACTGTGAGCAGTGCTGCAGGTTCCACAGGTCTGGCTGTGAGACAGCCTGGCTTTTTGTGAAGGGTTTCAGCACTGGCCTCATCCCCACACGTCAGCGATCCCTCTTTCCATCTGCAGCCTGGGGCTGATCTTCACCTCCTTTGGGATCTTCTTCTTTTGTTGCCTTTTTTTTCCCCTCTCTTGCAAAATAGGTGGGTTTCTGTGGCAGAAACAGCCAGAATAGATGTTAGCATTATTAAAAATTACTTGCTTTCTTTTCAACCAACTTAATGAGCTCTGCTACACTGCAGGAGGGTCCAAAGCCACCACGACCCTTCACATTGCAGGGGAGAACTTGCACTCACCCAACCCTCCCTGAATATTTCTCATCTTCAGTCATTTGTAAGTAGTTTCCTGCTGGATAGAAGGTTTTGGTGGGGAGTGCACAGTATTTCTGTCACTCTATAAATATTTATATAATCAAACCAGGAAACGTGCGAAAGTCAAACTGGGGCTCTGATTTGCTGTTATGATTTGATACAGTTTAGAAAAAGTGTTTAAATAAATAGTGGGCTGTAATGGCTTTCACAATTCACTGTATCTACAATAAACACCACTTAGATTACTGTTCATTTACTGTGGATTTATTTCAACATTCCAGTTGTTTTCCAACTTTTTGCTTACTGATGCATTGACAGAACCAGAAAGTCCCCTCATGCAGTCCACAGATTTTCCAATAAACTATTTAGAGGCTCAGGAATAATGGTAGCAGAATTGTAATTTTTTTTTAAATCACCAGTAGGAGGGATAAAATCTTTCTTGAATAGTGAATATTGCATGAAGATCTTAGTTTTCAACATACAGCATGAGATGGTGACGGATACACAACTGGTAATTCTGGAAGCACAGGGACATCTGAAATTATCCTCCTCTGCGATCTGTTTATGGCTTTAGTTCTTTGGAGAGATTATTCTCCAGGTAATAATTAAGGTCAAGGTAGGGCTGGGAGTACGGGCTGGGCTGGGGAGTTGAGCTCGGGTCTATTTGCCGTGCAGGGCTACTTAAGAGATGACAGGGAGGCTAAGGAGACAGGCAGCTCCTCTAGTGCCTCTTGATTTGGGGGTTGTCATGAATTGGCTTTCTGCTGAATTTTGTAATCCCATTCATTTAGGAGCTTGCTGTGTTTGCAGTGGGCTTCCTTTTCATTGGTTCCAACAAATATCTTGCAGCAAGGACTTATCACTTAGTGTTCCTTGCACTGCCCTTGGAATGCTCCTGATGGATTCGTTAACATTCCATATACCTTTACTGCATTTCTTATTATCTTTTGCTCATTCCACTTGATGTCCTTAAATCTTCAGTCAATCCAATATGAGATCCTCTAATAATATTAATGCAGTACTTGGGGGATCATGCCAGGCAGCTGCTTATTGCCATAGAAACCAGGTTGTCTTGCAGTGATATTTTAGCTGTTGCTGCTTTGGAGTGAAATAAATGGAATAGAGATCTGCTGGAGGAAGTAGCTGGGCTTGCTCTTGGAGCTGTAGGAAAGTGACAAGTTTTGCATCAGTATCTCATCAATATCTCAAGTAGCATCCTTACTGGAGGCTTTATAATTAGTCTTTATATATATAAAAGTATTTTTTTGCACCTTCAGTGTATTCACATTCCTCATGGCCTGTGCTGTTATGTCTTTCAGAGAACTGCTACTGATTCAATGCTCTTTATGAAGTTAGAGAAGACAAATGTCTCCCATTCAAATAAATCAGCTTACAGAAGGAATTGTAAAACCCACCACAGATATCTGACAGTGGAGGAAGTTGTTTTTCCACTGGATAGTTACAGGGCAGGTAAATTCTCTGTATTTATAGCCAGAGCAATCTTTTAAAAGGATTATGTGCAATTGCAGGTTAATCACTGATAAGGTTGTAACGAAAGTAAAAGCAAATAAGCAGGTTTGGGGATTAGACTTGGGTCCAGAAAGAAATTGCAGGACAAATGGAAAGCCCAGTTAAATGGTGTTTAATTAGAAAGCTTGAAATAAAATTAAGCACTTTAACCTTGAAACCTGTAAACCTTAACCAGCAGAACACACTCCTAGTTCTGGGAACAGCC